TGGTAACTCATCAGAAGATTGCAACAGGAAATGTAGAACAGACAATAAGAATATATGCCTTCAAAAAGAAAAGAATTCCATATATCAACATTTAATTAACTTCATTGTAGTGATTATTATGTAGTGTAAATACATAGGTCAGTAAATTAGATAAATTATTTTATTGTGGAGGTAGGAGTTCATGTAAGTATACACATGTGTTTATTAATGTTACATTCTTACTTAATTTAATACAAAACAGAGTTAGACTTATATTGTCCAGCCTAAAATGTTGGCTAGTATTTGCCCTTTGTTTTGATGTTAATGGAGTGTGCTAATCACTGAGTCATAAAACTGCCTTTTAATTATTTTATGTTTTCTTAAAAACGTTTTTAGGAATCAATTCATGTTCCTGAACCTGTCATTTCAGTAGCAATGAAGCCTTCTAACAAGGTAGGAGTTTAAGCTTCAACAACCTGCTCTAAACTTGCGCTTTCTGTCATCATTCTCCTGCTGCACCTGGCATCTTGTGGGAAGCCTCCCTGAGCTGGTCTCTGCTCCTTCTGTTGATATTGAGGTCAGCCTTGTAACTGAGTAGTCGGTCCCGATGAGTCCTCCACGTAGTTGAAGGCACAGATTGCGTTTAATAGTAGAGAGTACTTTACAACTCTATCGTAACGTTGGTGTCTGAATGGTAAGTCTATGCTCTTGGAGTCGTAAATTGTTCAAAAGGAGAGAAAGGCGTTCGTCTCGAGCTGTAGTGAACTTCATTGTTGATCCTTTACAGTTAAATGCTTGGCGGATTATAGTGCATTTCTGGATTTTATGGTTGTTAGGAAGTATCTGATCATAACATCACAAGCCAATAAGACAACTTTTTAAAACTTCAACTGTAATTTTATATTTAGGGTTTTAAATTTGTATACTGTTTTTACAATTACATAATTAGGTTTGATATCATTTGGCATTCTACACATCCAAATTGCTTGACTGCCTTGCATTCATATTGCTCTCCATTGGAATCATTTCAGTCTTGAGCCCTAATTATTTAGTTCCTAAGTTGTCTTGTAGGGGTTAATTCATTCATGTATTGAGTGAACATTTTAAGACATCTTGCCCTCTGAAAACTGTCATTCACATATTTGGATAAATTGTCCTGTAGGATACATAATTAATAGCTGCTACTTCATCTATTTTGAGAAACTGGGATTTTTCCAGATAATTTTCCAGTATAGAAAAGAGAAAGTCGAGGGAGCAAAAGACATGAAAACAGTCTTCTCAGAATCTCTTGGGGCCTAAACCTTGTATCCTCGCTGAAAGATACCTTTGTTTGTTTTAAGTTCTTTGCTAAGGCTTGCTAGCAAGGTTAGAAATGTAAGGTGTCTCTATACCTTTCATGCCTACACTCAGAGGTTACAGCTAATAACTCACAATGACAGAAAGAAATTAGGTGGACCAGGGATCCTGGCCTCTTGTGCATGAAAACATTTAGAAGTGTCTTCTAACAGCAAGTAAATTAATTTCAATCAACTGAAGAAGTCTCTCTCACCGTAAGGCCTTGAGTTTGTATAGTGAGCAGGGACGATGCTTCTGCTGAATGAGGACTGGCTAGTGCAGAGAAAAGTCAAGAGTGACTTGAGTACACTAACCTAGGGACTGACTGCCCTCCTGTGTGTTCCCTGTGTGGCCTTGAGCAAGTTACTTAACCTCTGTCTACATATTGACAGTGCAGTTCAATTTGAGATAACATGCACAGCAGGCATTGCAGCTCCGAGCATGTGATTAAAGGTGCTGCTAATACTTCTCCTGTAGGACGTGATCGTTTTTTATTGCTACCATAAGGAATTTCCAAAAACTTAGTAACCTAAAACAACACCAATGCATTGTGTTTATAGTTATGTAGATCAGAGACTGGTATGATTCACTACAGTTTAAATTAATCAAGCAGGGGTGTATTTGTGTGTGTGTGTGTGTGTGTGTGTGTGTGTGTCCATGTGTCCGTCCCTTTCAGTGTGAGTGCAGGCACGTGTCCATGAAGGTCAAAGGACAAGCTCACGTGTCGACCATCAGCTTCCACTAGTTTGAGAGAGGGTCTCTTCGTTGTTCACCGTGTGTGTGCCAGGCTAGCGTGGCTGCTTCCTTCCGTGATTCTCCTGTCTCTGCCACTCATCTGGCCGTGGGAGTCCTGGGATTGTGCTAATGGATCCAGTGTGACATAGTTCCTGGGGATTCGGCCTCAGCTCCTCAGACTGGTGAAGCAAATGCTTTACCCTCTGAGCTATCGCCCCAGCTCAGGGTTGTGCTCTTTTCTGGAAGTTCTAAGGGAAACACCTTTTTTGTTGCTTACTCATGTTTGTGGGGAGAATTGTGCTTCCATGGGTTCCTGTTCCCTTTTCTTCTCAGGGTCCTCCTAGCTTCCAGAGGCTACCTTACCTTTTTTTGGCTTATGGCCCCCGCTATCATTTTTAGATGTCATGTATTTTTGATTATGTGTATGTGTGTCTAACTGTGTGTGGATATATGCATGTAGAGGCCAGTGGCATCTGATCCCCTGGAGCTCGAGTGATAAGTGGTTGTGAGCCACCTGACATGCGTGCTGGGAACTAAACTCCAGTCCTCTGGAAGAGCGGGAAGTTCTCTTAACCACTGAGACACCTCTCCAGTGTTCCTTCCCGCTTTTCATGCTGTCAGCAACGGGTTGGGGCTTGTTCCTGCTTCTCTCCAGCCTTTCTTTCGTCATAGCCATGCTTTGTTCTCCGTCTACTTTCTTCCGTCTGTAAAGGTCCTTGGCGTTACATTGAGCCTACTCTGACAATTCGTAGAATGCTCCTCATCGTAAGAGCTGAGAGGAGTGGGCGACTTAGCCTGCTTACTGTGTGGAATTGCATCAAAGTACAAAGGTATATCAGATAGCAAGGAGATTGTTTCAAAACAGAAACAGCTTGATGTGCTATTTCCTTTGCTCTTGGTCTGAACAGAGTAGTTAATGCTCTTGACTCTACAGAAGACTTGGATAAACGTGCTGACTATATTCTATAGAGGATCTCCAAGTGTTAGGCATTTCCTTTCACTCAGGCACTTCCCACAGATGGGTAGTTTGGTCAGTGTGATAGAAAGTGACAGTTAAGTCTTGGACCCTTGTTTTCTATCTTGGTATGAAGAGAAAGTCCTATTCAGCTGGCTGGGCCTGGTCTTGCCAGTGGTGGCCAAGGTTGTAGTTTTTCCAAAAAAAAAGGTCTGAGTAGAACTAGATATAGACCCTCTTTATTTCTTAATTGCCAATGTATTTGGTTTTATTCAGTAACATCTTCTCAAAAATGCAGTTGTTAGCCGAGCGGTGGTAGCGCACGCCTTTAATCCCAGCACTCGGGAGGCAGAGGCAGGCGGATTGTTGTGAGTTCAAGGCCAGCCTGGTCTACAAAGCGAGTTCCAGGAAAGGCGCAAAACTATACAGAGAAACCCTGTCTCGAAAAAAAGCAAAAAAAAAAAAAAATGCAGTTTTTTTTCATGTTTAATCAATCCTATAATGACTTTTTTTCCTCTTTTAAAGAATGATCTGGAGAAATTTTCAAAAGGTATTGGCAGGTTTACACGGGAAGACCCCACATTTAAAGTCCGCTTTGACACTGAGAGCAAGGAGACAATTGTGTCTGGAATGGGAGAATTACACCTGGAAATCTATGCTCAGGTATGGATCACAGAGCAGCTCTGCAGTTGGATTTGTTACTATGTGTCCTAAGTCTTTATTTGTTAAACATTGTGGACTTCGAGAATCTAGACTCTGAGATTTGTCACAAGACCCTCATCCATTCCCAGTCCACCATTGGGTCAAATAAAGCAAGCCTAGTGAGAGAGCTTGTTTTTGTACCTACTCCCAGGACTTTCCTTCAGGAGGACTGGAGAGGGCTCAGAGGTTGAAGTCACTTGCTGTGTTCCCAGAGGACTTGAACGCAGTTGCTGGTGCCCATGTGGAGTGGCTCACAACCCTCTTTAATTCCAGCTCCAGTGGATCCAGCGCCCTCTTCTGGCGCCCCTGTATACACGGCTCATGCACACACAGACAACACGTACACAACATGTACATAAACATTAAGGGCAGGCCAAGGTAGCCTTTAATCTCGGAACTCAGGACAGCCTGGTCTGCACGGTAACTTCCCACCAGAGCGACACAGAGAGGCCTTGTCTCACAAAATAATCAATTAATGAGATTTCAAGCATGGAGGTCGGTGGTAACGCAAACCTTTAATCCCAGCACTCAAGAGGCAGGCAGATCTCTGTGAGTTCAAGGACAGCCAGGACCATACAAACCCTGTCTCAGAAAACAAAACATAGAGGCCAGTTCAATACAGATTTAAAAAAAAAAGTCTTCCTAGCTGAAGGTAAATATAGTGAAATGTAAACAAAAGATAACAGGAGTGGACAAAAAGTTGTTATTCCAGTGAATGTGAGCTAATGTGAAACAACTGTAGATTGTGGCAGATAGAGCAAATGGAACTGAGTAAAAATTTGTCAAAATTATAATTCATTTTTGTAAGATATATAAAGGTATTTTGTGTTTTAGAATATCATATCTGATTTTTGTCAGTTACTAAAATAATTTAAAATTTACTGTTCAGTTATTTACTGTATTTTAAAAATTTTTTAAAAATTTTTATTTTTATATACATTGGTATTTTGCCATGGATGTTGGGTCCTCTGGAACTGGAGTCACAGAGACTCTTGAGCTGCCGTGTGGGAGCTGGGAGTAGAACCCTGGTTCTCTGGAAGAGCAATCAGTGCTCTTAACCACTAAGCCATCTCTCCAGCATCTTATTTACTATATTTCATTGAATGCTACTAAGGTATTTTCTTTTCATTTTACTTTCTAAAATACAAACAATATTAACCCCGCCCCCCTCCAATTCATTTTAGAGAATGGAGAGAGAATATGGCTGTCCTTGTATCACAGGAAAGCCCAAAGTGGCCTTTAGAGAGACCATCACTGCCCCTGTGCCGTAAGTATGCAATGCAGTCAGACTCCATGAGACGGAAGTAGACTTTTATTAGGGGATGTACATGGTACTGGTACTGTTGGAAAGACATTTTTACGTAGTAATACTCTTGATTATGAATCTATGCAACTCGGTGCCATAGCCAAGACAAACAGAGAGACGCTGTGGGATGTATTTGGCTTATTAGGCGAGATGCCAGTGAGGACAGTCATCCACATCATTAGGAACTTGTTTCCATTCCGCCCGGGCCTCGGTGTCTTTGTTTACTCCGCTCACACTTCCTTTGGGAGACGGCTGCTGTGCTTCACTTTCGTGCCGTACTGTGGGTGCCACAAAACTTGCATTTGCCAGGGAATGATCTCCTGCAGGTAAAGGAAGTTAATGCTCCTGTGAGATTAGAAACTATAATCGAGTTTGTATTTTGTTGGCAATATTGAAAAGGCCTTCATCAGGAATAGCACTAAACAAGTCCAGTTGCTACAAAGATGGCAGACACATTGCAGTCTGGTGCCTGCTTGAATTTTCCTTAGCTTTTACTTAGAATCAAAAGGAATAAGGTGATTGTGTGGCTACAAAAGAATTCTTGATTTTCCAAGTGGCATCAAATAAAGATAAGTCGTCTATGCTACCTGCAATACAATGTCATGGAGTAGAATGGTGTGGTCTTATTCTGGCAGCAAATAAAGGTAAGTCGCATGTGTTACCTGTGATGCGATGTCATGGAGTAGAATGGTATAGTCCAATTCGATGAAGTCATCATTTCTTGGCTATAACCAAAAAAAAAAGTGTTTAAACAATATCATGGCAAATTGACATCTTAAGTTTTTGAATTAATGTTGACTTTTATAAAAAAAGAATGTGAAGTTCATAACTGAATTCAACTTAGCCTGATAGAAAACTATTTTCTTACATTGAATAAACAAATATTCTTTCAAATCACATTTTTAAAAAAATCATTATTTTGTATTTGTTACTCTAAAAATTGCTTTTTTGTGTTTTCACTTTCCAATTTGTGGCAGCTATTTAAGAGCATTACTGTGTGTAGCTTTTTATTTACGAACCCTTAGTGTCAGCAATGGCAATGGGAATTCACATGAAAAGAAGCCAATTCTATAACATTCTTTAGAAAACTGACGCTAATGTAATGTCATGACTTAGTGATCTGATTTTACAATTACAGCTTTGTTCTGTACTGTTTGTTACTTCAGGAATAAAAAGCATGTCTGTAGTGAGCTACACAGACGTACTGAGTCTGTGTGGGTTAAAACTGTCACCAGCAATGTACCGTGCCCATGAAGCTGAGGCTTTTGAAAACTTGTCCTTGCTGTGCTGAAACTCCAGTTAACGGTGCTTATAATGTAGCCCCAGAATCACCATTCTCATTTTTAAAATCACAATATAATGAAGATTCATGGGTTTTTGTTGTTGTTTTTTAAATAAGCATAAAACCATTGGCTTGTATGTTGCTGGATGTAGCTTGGGAATTCATGATTATGGTTTTATGGGCTGTCCCTGGCCTGGGCTGATAGTTCAGCACCTTCAAAGGAGCATTGTCACCAAGGTTGGGATCTGTGAAACGCATTTGGAAAGCAGACTCCCTCTGTTTCGCCGAATCTGCTGCATCGGGTAGGTTGTTGGCCTCCCAGTGGAGTGCTGTAACTGCTGTCCTGCCTGCTGCTGTATAGTAAATGGTTCTGAGGCCCTGAGACACAGTGCCCCGCTCTTCTGCAGGTTGTTTCCTGCATGCTGAAGCAGGAAGCCCTTTTCTCTCAGGTTATGGAAAAGATAGTTTCTATCTTTTGTGGTTCTTAGTACTCTTGTCTTCCATTAGCTACTAGTTGGATACCCCCATTTAACCTCCAAAAGGAAAAACTAAAGACCTTTTCATATAAATTTCTGGTCTAGGGAGATGCGTTCTATGAACCCCTGGTATTAGGTTTAAGAAAGCATAAAGCTAGCAATACAATGTGAGGTTGTAACTCGGACTAAAGGGATTAGAGAAAAGAATCACGCAGGAGCCAAGGGCGGGCTAGAACTACTCCAAGCTTGCTTGCAAAGATCACAGTGCCATGATTCTCTCTGGGGGAAATGCCAGGCCTGTCTCTAGGTAGCCAAGGAACCACCATTCAGTAGAGAAAAAATGCAGTTAGTTCAACAGTACTTAACAATTGCAACTCAACTACACTATTTAGGTTGCTAAAAAGGAAGCGTTCTGTATGAAACTAAATACCAAAATTTAAAAAAAAAAAAAAAAAAGCCAAATTTTAACTCACAGCTTCACAGTTTTGAAGTGCAGCTTTGCTTGTGAGTGTTATAAAGAGAGGCCCTCAGGACCTTTGTAAAGCAAATTAAAGACCGGATGATTCATTAAAAGTGTGAGGTGTACCTAAGTCTTTGTCTAGCACATACTAATAAGGCTACAGCCATTTTTTTCTCCAGAAAAGGATCCAAATAAGGCATCATAAATAACTAAATCGGATTTGCTTGGCATGAAAGATTAAGAACCATAAACTTGCGAAAATGCAATGTAAAAACTGCTCATTACTAGAAGACGTTTCCTAGAGAATCCTTAGCTTTGCCTTGCTAATATTCGCTGCCTGTAATGTGTGGCCAGGGAAAGAAAACGCAGCACACGCGATTGCTTGCTAGGAAGATAGATGTAGGCAGAGAGGCCTGCGTCTGAGCTCTCTGCAAACTAGCCAGGTGACATTCGGGACCAGTGCTGCTGCTCTGGGTACTTCCCTTTAACTTGGCCTTCCTCAGTCCTGACTGACTAGCAGTTAACCTGCCCTTCCTCAGTTCCTGACTGACTGGCAGTGCCTTTGAACTACCAGGTTCACTAGTTTTAGTACAGAATGGCAATAGAAACACTATCCAGTTATGGACACCAGCACTAAGTCAGTATTAACTGTCAATAGCATGCTTTGTAGCAAGAGACTACGTACCACTTGCTTGACGGTTTGAATTTGTGCCATTTTATACCACGTGTCTTCAGTCGAATTCTGCCACATTATATAACCACAGGCAACCCAGGCTAAGTGGCGAACTGGCTTCATTTGTGGAGATACATTTCCAGAACTGTCTGGTAGAGGAAACATTTATATGCTAAATGTAATATTAACCTTTTCAGATTAAAAATCAAAATTCTTATTCATGCTTCCTAGTGTTCTAATGTGTGTGAAAACTAAATTAAGCCATGGATGTAGAAAATTCCAGGTCCTCTTTTTTATTGCTAGATTAGATTAGAAATAAGTATTTTTGAAAAAGTCAGTTCATTGTCAACATAGTTAACATCAAACAGTTTTGAGCATGGGTAATAGAGATACATCTCAAGTCTGAAAAACGTATTTCCCATGCTTGATGTGTGTACCTGGAATGTCTTGTGCTTGTAGTGGTTCCTTCATAGACATAAGTCTTTGATAAAATGTGTTATCTTCTTCATCTGGGCTCTTGCCAATCTCGCCTTCAAATGTGAAGCTGACCTCTGGCGCAGTGCCTTGGCCCATGTGAGGGTAAAGAACTTCCGCTGTGCAGTTCACTGTAACTTGCTGTCAGAAACATTTTTACAAAAGATCAGTCAATCTACAGATGGCAGGTCTTATTGTAAGTGACTAGGTTTCAGGATGTTGAGAATTCTAACCCGAAGGCTGCTTATACTTCATTGTCAGTGGGGTGTCGGTTTACAGGTCAGCTTTTAGTCTGACTTCACCAACATCGGACTGTCCCTTCTAAGCTTGCTCCTTACCCTCTCTCTGCTTCTGAAACCAGTGTTTTTCCAAACGCAGACCCAGCAGTCTCTCCCTACCGTAAGAGTAAGGGGTAGGGGGTTGTCTAGCCGCTCAAATGCCTCCTAGGGAATCTCCTCTTGTGAGTTCCTTGAGTTATACTCAGGGAGAGGGTGAACTTTCCACAGTTTCAAGATGGCTTTGGTGCAAACTGCAGTTCCTTCTTTTAAATTTATTCCATTACTAATTTGACAGGCATAAAATTTTTCAAACTTTCCTGCCCCATTACTGAAAGATTAATGGAGTCACAGTTGGCCATTCTATTGCTCCTGAATTTCTAAGCATACTTAATTTGAATAGCCAATTAAAAGGCAGGCATAAGAAAGCAATCATGACTGGAGAGTAAATTACTACATTCAATCATACAAGGCGTAAGTTCAGACTGTTCGGAATGTGTGATCTTTTTAAGGGTAATTTATTTGAACTGAAATAACTGACCGCTTCTAAATAATTGAATGGAAAGAAAGAACCGAGGTAGTACATGCTGGCTCCCATGGCTTTGCCCGCAGAGCTGCTGATGCCATAGTAAAGCCCCAGATCAAACCCTTCAGCAAAAATGAGCTAGGTAATTCTGAATCAAAATTTATTCACTAGACAGGGCATTTAACTTACTTTTTGGATAATTTCTTCCACAGAAAATTTGAGGTGATACTTGTGCCCTCTTCCTGGAATATCCTAAAAGTAAGAAAAATGTAGTGGAGAAAAGATATTATAATAAATCTTTTTAGTTAGAACATTCTTCTTAGTACATGGCTGGGAGGATGGCTGGTGCGAGGAAATACAGTTTAGCTTTGCATCTTTTTAAGCACCACACAGTGGGGTTCACTCTGGCACTTCACGAATGTATACATTGCGGTACTTCATCGCCCCTCCCCCAAGCCTTACTTCTTGAGAAGGCCCTGTCGCCGCCAAGGGTTTAGCATCCAATTTGGCAGTCTCTAGCAAATTTATTTGAGATTAGTGTAGACGATGGACAGAAGCATACAACGTGCACAGATAAAAAGACAACGGGCTACACCTTATCTTAAAGCCCAGGGTACCCGAGCATCCAGCGAGGGACTATTAGAGGCAGGTCACTGCCAAGTGACTGAGACAGTGTGTACACGTGCTGTTGGTTACTTGTGTCTCTTCATCTGCCGAACGATACTTCAACAAATCTTATGACTAGATAGATACATTTAGATATTTCACTTTGAAATGAAGAGATACATTTGAAGTTTACACCCAATTATCTTATCTGGTACAGCTTTAAAAATAAAAACTTCCCCCCATCAGCCCCCCCCCAAAAAAAAAAAGAAAGAAAAGAAAAGAAAACTGAGCAGTTAAGGCTGTGTCAGCTTAAGGGTGTGTGTGTGTGTGTGTGTGTGTGTGTTTGTGTGCACTCAGTAGGTGAGGCCTTAAACCCGAGCCCAGCTCCAGCCAGGGAAGCGCATCATCTGTGGCCGGATATGGGTGGCCAGAGCCTGGCAGTAGCACACAGTGCTTTTGTCCTCTTACAAGGGGCTAGTTTCTCACGGTTTCCCTTCCTTTTGGGTAAAGGGCCTAAGAGCTGCCTTTCAAGTCCAGGGAGTTGTTTGGAGGCCCTGAGCTTCTGTTGGCCAAGACAGCCGGCAGATTGAGAAACAGTAACAGCTTCCAGGCTGTTTAGAATGCCTCCTGTCTAGACCTAGTCTCGCCACAGGAAAGGGAGAGATGCCCATCCCGTGTATCTCCCCAATTCCGTGAAATAATATGCACAAAATCTGAGTCTGCATGGGCTCTCTGTGGGACGGAGAAAGCAAACGGTTCTGGGCTGAGTCTGCTGGTACCGAGGACCCCGTAGGAATGCTAGTTTCGTAGGAATGCTAGTTTTGTAGGAATGCTCGTTTCAGAGGCAGAGCCACCGGCTGTGACCAGAGAGTGGGGGAGCAAGCCGATTCCGGCCAGGGGCCCGCCAACTCACCTCCTTGGTGGCCTGCTGGACCGTCTGCACCTGGAACACCTTGTGGGGGGTCCCCTGCTGGTAATTGATGCAGTTCTCTGCCACGGAGGCGGCCCTGGAGGCCGCGTAGTGGGTGGCTGGGATCTCCATCTTTGGGGGCCAGTGAGTGCGGACCGCCCTGGTTTAAGGGGGTCGCAGTGGGTGTGGAGTGCGGGTGGCCCGGGTCGTCTCTCGTATGGTGGAGAAGCCAGCAGCTGGGTGTGTGTGCGTGATCCTCAGCGCCTGCCTTCCCTCTTCCTCCTTCGCAGGAAACTGTTTGGGCTGTGGCTCGGCAGCTAGGAGCCCGGGCCCCGCCCCTGGGTAGGCGGGTACCTCCTGGAGAAAAGCCCGGGCATTCGGGCATTCCCTCTGGCTCCCTTAGGCTTTGGCAGGTGCGGGAAGGAAAGGGAGAATTCAGGAGACAAGGAGAGGCTTTCCAGCCTTGCCTCAGTGGGTCCTCTAGAGGTCTTCAGCTGCCTCTGGCTATTTCACATGCAGATTGGAATACACCGGGCCTCATAGGGCAAGGTGCAAAGTGCTCCCAAGTGTGATTCACCTTTACGTTTCCCGTTGTGAGACTCCAGGAACAGGCTTGCTCACCCCAGCTTCCTTTGGAGTATGACCCAGAGTGGAGGAAAACCATGCTCTAAAGTTGGGAGACTAATTGGGATCAGAAGAAAAATTTTAAATGTACCAGCAGACTTCCACTACCCCACTGATCTTAGAAATATGAGGCTTAATGGGCGTGAACCACCACTTGTGGCTCTCTTTCTTTAAAAAATTATGTTTATAACTTTTAATTATGTGTATGCATGTGTATGTGCACACGCGTGTGCAGACACATCAGATACCCCCTGGAGTTGGAGTTCTGTGCAGTTGTGAGCCACATAGTGTGGATGCTGGGAGCCGAACTCCAGTCAACTGCTGAGCTGTCTCTCCAGCCCCACCTCTTTTTCTTAAAAGGTAGATCATTGAAGGATTTTGGGTAGACTACTATGTATGTTGTAGTGACACGCTGAAAAGAAGGGGGCTGTGCTGTGTGTGCTACTGAAGTTTTCCTATAAATGAGGACTTCCTTTGGACTAAGTGGATTTTTAAGAAATAATAAGCAATATACCATTTCCCACCCTTTCCTGTTGCATAAGCCAATGTGGAGTAACTAGAGGATAACGAGATTTTTTTCTCATGAAATTGAAGATATTTGTCTTTTTCTTTTCCTTTGAATAAGTCATTGTCTAAGAACCAGCCCTTTGGAGGCGTGTGTGTGTGTGTGTGTGTGTGTGTGTGTGCGTGCGTGCGTGCGTGCGTGCGTGCGTGCGTGCGTGTGTTGAGGTAAATGCTCCTTGGATAGTGTCCAGAAAGAATGTGTAGTTAGCAAGTCAGAAGGCGCTCTGCAGGGCACACAGTGTCAAGTTTCCTAAGCTACTAGTTGTCTCTCTTGGAACTACTGTAGACTCCTGGTCAGAGCAGTCAGGCCTACAGTCAGCGTTTGGGTAGTCAGAGATTCTGTATCTAATGACTCGCATAGAGTCTGTCGTAAAGGTACTTACAGTAGTCATACCAACTTAGGTTCTATTAAAATTATGATTATTACTTTAAAGGGGAAACTGACCTTTCATTTAGATGTTAAATAAGCTGAATTGCAAGGATGTCATTTCTATGTTGGTGCTTTTTTCTGAAATGTTTTCTAGAGTGTTTGGCCTGCACGTTATGGATGTGTACCAGGTATGTGCCTGGTGCCCAAGGAGGTCAGAAAAAGGAGTCAAATCCGCTGGAACTGGAGTTAGGGATGGTTGTGGAGTCATCATGGTTGCTGAGACCCAAACTCCGATGCTCAGCAAGAGCAGCAAGTGCTCTCAGTCGCTGACCCATCTCTCCAGCCCCAGCTGGGTCTTTAAAGTATTAGTTACCTGCTGTAACGACATCAAAGGCAAATTTTCAGTCCACTATATTCAGACTCGAATAATGTCTAGATTGTCTTAAAAAAAAACAACAGTTATTATGACTCTTCAGGATCAGGTAATTTACACTATTGATTTTATATTACAATATAAGCATTAAACAAGGTTAAAAAAAATACTGTAGCTTGTAACTTGGGTATAAAGTCAAAGTGGCCAGGGCTAGTGGCTCATGCTTTTAATCCAAGCACTTGGAAGGTAGAGAGGCAGGGAATCTTTTGAGAGTTCCAGACCGCTCAGGGTGACATATTGAGACCCTTTCTCAAAAAATTAAAAAAATATAAATAAGTAAAAATGTGTAGGAGTTTCTCAGCTTCGACTAGCCCCACAGTCCAGACGAATCTCTCCTACCTGAGCTTTCAAAGGCACTTATAAAATAACCACTAAGAGGCTTATATTAATTACAAACTGTATGGCCTGTGGCTCAGGCTTCTTGCTAGCTAGCTCTTATAACTTAACTGAACCCATTTCTATTCATCTGTGTGTTGCCATGTGGCCATGGTGTTACCAGTCTGCTGGCCTCTTGTTGCTCCTTCGGAGGTGGGTTGGCATCCCTCTGACCCCGCCTTTCTTCTCTCAGATTAAAGGCATGCACCACTGCTGCCCGGCTGAATTTTTTTTTCTCTCGGAGCTGAGGACCGAACCCAGGGCCTTGCGCTTGCTGGGTAAGCGCTCTACCACTGAGCTAAATCCCCAACCCCTCTTCTCTGTCTACGCCTCCTGGGTTTCCCTCCTGGCTCCATCCTGCCCTGCCACAGGCCAGTGCAGCGCTATTTGTTGACCAGTGGGAGCCACACGTATTCACAGCCTACAGAAAGACATCCCCCACTAAAAGTGAATCTATGAATCAGAGAAAACAAACCAACGCAGTTCTCGTTAACATTACATTTGATAGGACACGGTATCAGAACACATCAGTCAGGGCTCCAGCCACTTTAAATTTTTTCATTAGCGTTCTAGGAAAATGTTTGGCTAAGGGTAATGCTTTCGATGCAAATCCTGGCTTTGGTGGTGGGGAGCAGTCACATTCGTCAAGTTACTTAGCCTCTCTGACCCTCAGGTCTCGCACCTATAAAATGAGGACTAGAATCAGTACTGCTTTCTGGGTTGAGTTCATGCAAAGTGTTTAACACAAGCCTGGCACTTAATGTTCTCTCACTTGGCTTCCTCTCATTCATAAATGGCACTGTCCCTAAAACTGTGTGGAATTACTTGAATGTGAGCTGATTCTTAGAACATTGGTGCCTGGAGAACTCAGGGGTGCTGGAGTGCCCTGTATCTGCCCTGTGTGGGAAATCCACGGAGTCTGTTAAAGGGTAAAGGGATTTATTACGAAAGGAAAACTCTCAAGACGGAACAGAGGAATTGTCGCAGGGTCCTGGAAAAGGTGAGGCACCATCCCACGCTGTTCTTCTGCACCGTAGACTGTCCCAGCATCCAGGTCCCACAAGGGAGGCAAGAGCATCTCTGGTCTTAAGGGTAGGTGAGAGGCCACGCCCCAGGGGCATGTACTTCCAGGTCATAGGCAGGTAGAGCAGTTACCTGCTGTGTCTCCAGGGCTGCACTTCAGGGTCATAGAACAGATATCCCCTGCATCGTCTCAGTGCTCATGCACTTGAATTGTTAAGTTGTTGAATTTTCAAGTTAGTTTAAATAGCTGTAATTAGTTTGAACCATACAGTTAATCTATATAGCACAGATACAGACTATTTCTTCATTAAAAATTTGCACTCTATTTTGTATGGTTGCAGGGGTGTGTGTGTGTGCCGTGGCAGGAGTGTGGAGGTCAGGGGACAGTGTGTGGGACCTGGTTCTTTGCTTCCACCATGTGGTCCCAGGGGTTGAACTCAGGTCGTGAGACTTGACAACAAGCTCACTGCCCTGCTGGGCCATCTCTTCAGCCTCCGCTGTTTTAGTGAGATGTTGTTGTTAGACTGAGCACAAAATACCCATTCCTCAGAGAACTCTGAGTACCTGGCAGGGCCTTGGTGTCCACACCTGGAAATCCTCTGCTTCTGTGGTGACTTTTGCGTGTTTTGCCCTCTGCTTCCCTTCTCTTGCTTCTTACAGATGTTTTTTCCTTCCAGGGAATCAAGTTTTCACTCTCTGGGGTTTCCCAGCCCATCCTGAAGCTCTTGGCCACTGGAAGATTATTAGAAGGCCGTTAGTCAAACACATTCACACTTAGCCTCTTTAGGAAGTCCGCCCTTCCAGGCCTGCATCTCCTGCCATTATTTACATTGACTTCTTCCAGGCCACTTACAGACTTACCCATTAATATCTGCAGATCCGCCTGCAGATGTCGTACATACTTTTGAAAGTGATTGTCCTCTGAAAGTCTCAGGTTGAAGGGAGAAGCAGCTAAAGGAAGAAGCACCTGGCAAATGGTCTATATGCATCAGATGTTTCTCCTGAGACGTAGCCTCCTGTGCACTGTGTCTACATGTTTGATATTCATGTGAAATACTCGTTCTATCAAGTTAGTGCTTGGCATAAACACTAACTTATGTTCATTTCTTTTTGAAAGCCTTTTTTATGCTTGTCATTATCATTTTGTCATTAATCATTTTCAGTTCTTAATTATTACATCTGGTGCTCCCTTTAAATTACCTATGTCTATAATGCCACATAGTAAAATCAAGTAAAATCAATGCCTAAATAGATGAACTGTAGCCACCAGAGTTCTTATTTTCAAGTAACCATCCTTGTTCACGCCACTGTGTGACAGGGAAGGGCAGCATACACTCAGAACTGTATGAGCTCTTTGGAACGTAGGTTATTAGAAGCCATAGACTGAGCCTAAGAATGAAAAAACTTGATTACTTGGGTAGTATGCCCCTCCTTCACCCCGAGTAAGAACAGAAAAGAAGAATTTCTTCTAAATACCGTCTATAATAAATCTCATAGTATGGCCATCATAGTCAAAGGAGAAAGTGAAAAAAAAAAAATACTTGAAATGTGGGTTTTTGTGTAAATTAGTGGGAGTTTATTTCATTTTGCTGATTACTAATGCTCTGTTTGTTTTTTCCTGAATCATGTGCAGGTTTGATTTTACACATAAAAAGCAGTCGGGTGGTGCTGGCCAGTTTGGAAAAGTAATAGGTGTGCTGGAGCCCCTGGCCCCAGAGGACTACACTAAGTTGGAGTTTTCCGATGAAACGTTTGGGGCCAACGTTCCTAAGCAGTTTGTGCCTGCAGTTGAAAAGGTAGGTAGTGTTTGACAGAGCTCCGTAGCGTTCGTCTCTATTTGAAAGCAGGTCATCTGGTATTAAATCACACTTTCTGTTCTGTCGTGTTTGTGTCTATCATGGTTCCTTTTAATTAACCATC